GCAGCCTCGCGTCCGGCCTCCTGGCGGACATGTGGGCCACGGACCCTGGGCGTCGCCCAGCGATGTCTGCCGTCGCCAGTGTCCTCGGCAACTGAGGCCTCCAAGAAATCTCGCCCTCGCCCCCCTGCTCGGCCGTCGCAAGAACGATCCCCTCTTTGGATGGAACTCCCGCCGGTCTTCGACACCCTGCCCGGAGGGGAGGGGGGGGGGGGCATGGCATGATTGTGCAATCGGACGATCCTTGCACTCCGATGAGGTTCATTGGGCAGGGGTGGCCTTTTTGCGATGCGGCATCCCTCCTCCGCGAGGGGTGCTCATTTGGTCGCCCACTCGGGCGCTGTGCCTCCTCTAGCCCCATACAATAAAGGTAACTACGTACGGGATTTGCACTGCCCAGCACTGGCTGTTCGGAGTGGGCAGCCTCTGTGCTGCACATATCGCCAAATGCATAGGGTACATGGGGATCGGCCGAAAAGCAAGGGCTTGGTGTGTATGTGTATGTGTGTGTGTGTGTGTGTGTGTGTGTGTGTGCTGATGCTGTCTCTGGAGTATAGAGGTGCACCGCAAGGGCCTTGGCCTCGCTAGTGTCCATTGTCCGGGGAAGAGCCGGTGGCTTGGTGGTGAGTCGTTGGCCCTGTCAAAAGACCCGCAAGAAACGCCGGTGGCCATGGCGGAGTGTTATATGACAGGCCCATGGGGCGCTTGAACCGCATCAAGCGCGCTGTCGGTGCCTTCAAAGCCAGCCACAGGGATTTCCCCATTCTGGGTGCCACCGCGTGGTTAGGGATATCTACAACGAGAGCTGGTTGCACCTGCGGAGGGAGACGGACGGGCGGGCGGGCGGGCGGATGCGACACCCCCGATGGTTTGTAAAAACTGAAAGCAGGTGTGGTGCGCGAGTACCAGAAGGGGATCTGGGAAACGAGGCTGAGGGCTGCCACAGGCGGCGCGAGGCGCCAAGGGGGACCGCGTGACATGTGAAGAAAAATCAAGGATTAAATATTTACGTATTCCGGGTCATGCCAGGGGCATATGATTCAATGGATGGGGAGACGTGCTTTGGGGAATATTCAAACGCGCAGGCCGCGCGGGGTGAACGTCCGCTGGCACATGCGCCGGGGGGAAATAAAACAGGCATCGGCACCGTCGGCCGCGGGCGCCGAGAGCGCGCGTGGCAAGGGATATGAGGGTTTCATGTTGTGGTCCGGCTGCGACACGATCCGCGGCCCGGGGCCCGGGCCTTTTCTGCAGGACGCGGTGGCCGGTGCCCCCTTGTCTCAGGGGGGGGGGGGCATTATGACAAAGACATATGCCACTAGTTCAGGGGGCAAGGCAAGGGGGACCTGCCCTTGGAAAATGTCCCCGCCGTCTGTGCCTCGTCGAAAAAAAACAAGGAGCACATGGGGTCCGTGGTGGCGGAAGTTTCTTGGATGCTTCTCCAGGGCAGTCAAGAGCACGTCCATGGAGGCGCGGACCACCTCCCCCGGCAGGGCCAGTATGGGGGGAAGGGGCGCGGCAGCGGCCGAATTCGGGTCGCGGGTTTTGGGCTGTGCCTCCGGCCGTGTATTCCCCTGACCCGGCCCCGTGTAGCTGGCGGCGGAGAGGCGCCCCGACCGTCTGCGTGCGAGTGTGCGTTCCAGGCGACACGATTGGGCAGACAGCCGGGGCTGTCCGCCCCCGGGGGAGCCGAGATTTTCGGTGTCCGGCAGGCCGCGAGGGCGGGGGTGCCGGCCGGGGAAGTAGCCCCCCGGGAAGGATGCCCCCCCCCCCCC